GTGAGCTCCAAGGAAAGGGACGTGTAACTTACATCCACTTAATGATGCAAGCAATTTAAAGCCAAGAGTTCTTGTTGGCAAGAATTGGGAAAGTTGGATGGACAGTATACAGACAATTACCGAGCGGCCAGTAAACAGGAAAAGTGATAACAGTTCGAATGTTCTGACCAGGCGGATATTCCAAGTCTTTAAGAAACACTAATCATATATCTATGAAAGAAAAATACCTTGGGCCCCACTAATCATATACCTGTGAAAGAAAAATATCTTGGGCCCCTTCAAACTGGGAATTGCCCAGGGCAAATCTGCCTCCAATTCTATTCAAGTCACCTCGTTTGCTCACCGAGATAGATGCATATTCTGATTGCCTCCTTTGGAAAGACTATCAGAAACTCAAAAGAATACTACCATCTGTGTATTACCTACCTGTGACCTGGAAGTCCCCAGTTGGCGGGGGGGCTTGCTTTTAGTTGTCTCTGCCTTTCTGGAAGGAACTAATGTACTTTTCACATATTGACTGATGTCTCCTGTCTCCCAAATGTACAAAACTAAGCTGCGCCCCGACCACCTTGGGCACATATCCTCAGGACTTCCTTAGGCTGTGTCAAGGGCATGTCCTCAAAGTTGGCAAAATAAACTTTCTAAATTAACTGAGACCTGTCTCAAATTTTCGAGGTTCACATACCGTAGGTAAGTGTCAGAAGCCTACAGGTGAGCGAGTGGAAAAGCATGAAGGCCCCTGCAAGGTTATTAGCTAAACCTCCATAACGCAGGTGGCAAGTGTCCACGGGAGTCTGGCCTCTGCTCGCCTACACCACGACCTCCTTCCTGGGGAGGACATACATGGTCAGCCCTTTCTCCATTTCCATACTGATTGCTTGCTCTCACCGCCAAGACCCATCTGAGAAGCAACATTAACCCACGCGTATAACAGTCCACCAGAGTGAAACAGCTAGAGCCAGGCGCGGGGCGGAGCTAGTTCTGCGCATGCTCCGTGAAGGAGTAGGCGGGGGCCGAGCGCCCTCCGGTTGCGCCTGCGCTCCGGCTAGGACCCGCGCCTGCGCCTCTGCGGCTGTAATTTGGTCTTGCTGTCCCAGGCGGGATGGTGCCACTGTGCCAGGTAAGGGTGGCGGGTGTGCGTGAGGGCCTGGGTGCGGAGCCCTCCTCGACGTGTCTCTCCCGCCCTTTCCCTCCACAGACCCAGCCCTGGTCAGTCGGACCTCCCCACTAGCCCCCAACTAACACCCACCCTGGCCGGGATCTTCGGTTTGGGGGCGACCCCGCCCTAGGGCCCTCCGGACTTTGTTGCTGCTGCTGCCGCAGCAGAAGTCGGGTCCACTCCGAGAACTCCTGTCCGCTCACGGCAACAAGGACGGGTTCATTCTGAAGGCGCCTCGACCTTTTGTGGCCACCTCTTTCCGAGATTATTCGTTTTGATGACGCTAAAATTTTAATCTGAAAAGAAATGCACTTCATTTCTGCTTCATCTGTAGATTTCCACATCCTTGATTATTTGCAAACCTGTAATTATTTCGTAAAGAGTAGTTTGCACGGAGTGACAGGTGCCTATTTTACTTCGTCGGATCCCTTACGTACCAGGCTGCTGGCACAACTTTGTTCTAGCAAATATCCGTCTGTCCTGGGTTTCAAAGCTACTTGCTTCTGTAAATGTCAGATTTACTATGTTGCATAACTTAATCCTTAGCGTCTGGGGACAGTGTTATGCAGACCGGAATCTAAGGTCATTTGACAACCGCGAGAAACAGGTTTTTCGCTTATTTGTTCATTTATTTTATTTGTGTAACTCATCTCTTGACTCAGACATTTGTTTTTTGCTTACATGTTTATAAAAGGTGCTATACTTTTATGTCAATTAAAGACAGCCTTAACATGTTTTCATAGAAGATAAATACTTCGGATTTTAATGATGCCACACTTAAGTTTATAAAACTAAAAGGCATCCAGAAATTAGTCTGAATTATTTTTAAAACAACAAGTTTTCAGAATTTGAACTTGTAGATATAATGAAATTTTTTACGGGTTATTTAGTTTTCTTTATAAAATTTATCTTTGATTAAAGCAATACATTTGGAAAATGAGAAAACTGCTCAACATTGACAGTCAGAAAACGAGTATGAGTTGTTATTAAAAGCATTTTTTTTCTTTCAGGTTGTAGTATTGTATTTTGCAAAAAGTGCTGAAATAACAGGAGTTCATTCAGAGACCATTTCTGTGCCGCAAGAAATAAAAGCGTTGCAGTTGTGGAAGGAGATAGAAACTCGACATCCTGGGTAGTGAAACATTTGTAGAATGCATATGAGTAACACTTAAATGTTTTCAAAATGCATAAATGATAAAAGTAAAAATAAGGTTAATTTTGATTTCCGTGCTTAATGTCAAAAAGAATCATTAGTTTTATTTTTTTGGAACTACTGAAAAACTCTAAATATGCACTGTATTTTAAGAAAGGTTAAAGATATTTTACCCCAAAACACAGTGAACCCCAGAGGGATATGATTATATTCTTTTTAATGATTTACAAAACACTGCACATGTCACTTCTGCAATTTTATAACATTAAATGAATTTGTTACAAATTCCATTAAAAATGTGTGCTTTAAACATTTTGTTCTCCCTCTCTTTAGAGAGCTCAACATAGATATTTCTAAGATTAAAAGAAAAATGAGTTACAACAAATGCTAGATGCTGCTGAATTTGAGTTTTTGTAATATTTAATTTTTTTTTCTGGTTCTTGAAAAGCTATAATTTTACTTCTGTCATTCCCACTTCAAGTTCTTTTTGAAACAAAATATAAAAGTGACTTATTTGAGGGTGATTCAGGAATATTAATTGTGTGACTTAAGCTTGTATATTTGTTTAAGCCTAATTCTGTGTAAAAGATACTCCACAATATATGTTTAAAAGCAAACTACTTCATGATTTCATATCTTTTAAGTTGCCCTTACAGTGGCCTGATAATCAATGAAACAATGAAACACAGTGGAATCTCCTGTTCTGCTTTACCTGGAGGGAGACAGCTGGTCTTGTATACATTTTCACTGAGCCTGAAAAGAAAGCTTACCGTTGTTCAGGTATAAAGGAGCAGCTAGTAAAGCTGTGTTGCAGGTGGCTCTATGACCTATGCCATCTTTTCATCTTTCTAAGCAACTTAATCCATATTTGAGTAGGATAATGTGTACAGGCGTAGTTTGTGGGCAGCTATACTTAGGCTTGTACACATGGATAGAAGGACCCTGGAAAGGCCATGTACTGATAGAAGGACACTGGAAAGGCCATGTACTGATAGAAGGACACTGGAAAGGCCATGTACTGATACAAGGATCCTGGAAAGGCCATGTACTGATAGAAGGACACTGGAAAGGCCATGTACGGAAACTTTTCTTTTGACCTGGTTTGAGTGTTGCCTCCACTCTGATGGGTTTTTTGTGCATTTTTTTGTTGTTTAATTCCCCAAGGCATACAACATCCAATAAAGAGTTGACAGCAGCAGTTTAACGTATCTTTGTGGTGTATAAGTATGTTCTTTAGTGGATATGTCCTTTCTCCATATACTGTGTGTAAATTTAATTGGTAATTTTACAGGTGATGCTTTATATAATTATATCTAGGTAATATCTCTAATTGCAGCTGAAGAGATTTGAGGTCTATCATAGCATTGATACTTTGAGTCATACTTTTTCCCCTTTAGATTGGCTGATATTAGAAATCAGATAATATTTGCTGTTCGTCAAGAATATGTCGAGCTTGGAGATCAGCTCCTCCTGCTTCAACCGGGAGACGAAATTGCCGTTATCCCCCCCATTAGTGGAGGATAGTGCTTTTGAGCCGTCTAGGTATGTGAGATTTGTTTTTCTTAATCAGTTGTGTGGGGAAGGATCATACAGATGATAAAGTGTATGTGGTTTGCTGTTAATGTGTATTCTTTGTAAGTCTCTCTGTACCAAATCTTTATTGATGCAGCAACTCTTCACTGGTGCCAATAAATTTATGAATATCTACCACCATCTCTGCATCAAGTCTATTGTAAGCTGTTTAATTACAATAGACATATCAGTTTGATATGTTTCATTTAACATGGTTTATTGAGATCTTACGTGTCAGGCACAGTGACATATTAATATCCATATTTTGCAGGTGGAAAAATAAATTCAGAGGACTTAAAAACCTTGCCTTTGATCACATAGCTAATCACATAGCTAATAAGTGAAAGAGCCAACTTAAAAAGAATTTATTTAACTTTTAAGTTCAGGAATACATGTGCAGGTTTGTTATATAGGTAAACATGTATCGTGGCGGTTTCTTGTGCAGATTATTTTGTCACCCAGGTATTAAGTCTAGTGCCCATCAGTTATTTTTTCGATCCTCTCCCTCCTCCCCCCCTCCACCCTCAAGTAGGCTCCGGTGTCTATGGTTCCCTTCTTTGTGTCCATGTGTACTCAATATTTATCTCCCACTTATAAGTGAGAACATTCGGTATTTGGTTTTCTGTTCCTGCATTAGTTGGCTAAGGATAATGGCCTCCTGCTCCATCCATGTCCCTGCAAAAAACTTGATCTCGTTCTTCCTTATGGCTGCATAGTATTCCATGGTGTATATGTACCACATTTTTTTTACCCAGTCTACCATTGATGGGCATTTAGGTTGATTCCATGTCTTTGCTATTGTGAATAGTGCTGCAGTGAACATACGTGTGCATGTGTCTTTATGACAGAACGATTATATTTCTCTGGGCATATATTCAGTAATGGGATTGCTAGGTTGAATATATTTCAGTCTCTAGGCCACACTGTCTTCCACAATGATTGAACTAATTTACACTCCCTGCAGCAGTGTATAAGCATTCCTTTTTCTTCACATCCTTGCCAGCATCTGTTATTTTAATAATAGCTCTTCTGACTAGTGTGAAATGGTATCTCGTTGTGGTTTTGATTTGCATTTCTCTAATGATCAGTGATGTTGAGCTTTCTTTTCATATGATTGTCTTCTTTTGAAAAGTTCCTGTTCATGTCCTTTGCCCACTTTTTAATGGGGTTGTTTTTTCTCATAAATTTAAAAAAATTCCTTAGAGATGCTGATGTTAGACCTTTGTCAGACACATAGTTTGCAAAATTTTCTCCCATTCTGTACGTTGTCTGTTCACTCTGTTGACAGCTTCCTTTGCTGTGCAGAAGCTCTTTAGTTTAATTAGATCCCATTTGTCAATTTTTGCTTTTGCTGCAATTGCTTTCAAAATCTTTGCTTGTTCTTATGTCCAGAATGGTGTTGCCTAGGTTGTCTTCTGGGGTTTTTCTAGTTTTCAGTTTTACACTTAAGTCTTTAATCCATTTTGAGTTAATTTTTGTATATGGTGTAGGGAAAGGGTCCAGTTTCAGTCTTCCGCACATGGCTAGCCAGTTATTCCAGCACCATTTATTGAATAGGGAATCCTTTCCCCATTGCTTGTTTTTGTAGATTTGTCGAAGATCAGATAGTTGTAGCTGTGGAGCTTTATTTCTGGGTTCTGGGTTCTGTTTCATTTGTCTATATGTCCTATTTTGTACCAGTCCCATGCTGTTTTGGTTACTGTAGCCCTGTAGTATAGTTTGAAGTTGGGTAGCGTAATGCCTCCAGCTTTGTTCTTTTTGCTGAGGATTCAAGAGCTTTTCAAGAGACAACATTTGAACTCATATTATTGGACTGTCTCTGTACTTTTTTCCAACCACACTTACTAATACTAGATGATAGCTCTCCTGGCCACGGAGAAATGTAGAAAAATTACACAGCTAGTAATGCCTGAAAAGAAAGCTTACCATAGTCCAGGACTAAAGGAAAATAGGTTTATTGTTATGGCTTTGTTGCAGGTGGCTCTTCGACCCATGCTACCTTGTCACCTTTCTAAACAACTTAGTCCATATTCAAGTCGGATAATGTTCAAGAACATTGTTCAGTATAGTCTGGAGAGATCAGGCTTCTTATAAGTACAGACAGAATAAGGCTTAATTTATTGTCAACTGAAGAACAAATTCAGTAGAAATTAACAGTCATCCCTGAATAAAACTCTTGGTCAGTTAGGAATGAAAGAAGACTTTCTTAATTTGGTAGGATTTTTATTCAAAATCAGGAGTAAGTATCATACTTAATGGCAAAAACTTGGTTCTATTAAAGAAAGGAACAAGTCAAGGATGGCTTTTTATCTTTTTTACCCATTTTTTGCTCACCCTCCTGGAGGGCAATGCCACAAGAAGTGAAGAATCAATCTGTAAAGCAGATTGCCCCTCATGTCGACACCAGGCTTCTCTCTCAGGCCTACTATCTGGACACGGTAGAAGAATCTATTGTCAGATATGTATCTCAATGCTATTTAGAAACTGTGGTCACCATATCACCACCATGATTTCAGGAGGTGGAATTTGGATTTTTTGGAATTTGGAATTTATTCAGAAAACTATAAGTTGCCATTAAAGGGATATTGTGGTAATTACAGCTGTTCTTTGAAAAGGTTACGAAGATTACTCAAAAGCAGTGTGTGTTACTTTAATGTGTTTGGCAAGACTGGTATTATGCATTTTTAAAACCTGCCAGCTAGCTTTCGGTAGTCTTGTAAAATCAGAAGTTGTGGGAACTCAGTATGGTTTGAAGCTCATAGACCATATTTGTATTACCTATATTTTCTTGCAAGGAAAAGAGGTGGAAGACACTTAGGTGGCTTGTGCAGCAGATGAAAAATCCTGGAATCCAGTGATATATAAAGAATAGTGCTGTTTCCGTGGTGGAAAGGAGATAGGAAAAAGAACATTGGCTTAACTAAGACTCTTTGGTTGGAATTTCAGCACCTTGAGTGAGTTCCTTAACTTCTCTGAGCCGTCTTTCTCTCATCTTTCAGTTCAGATGAAATCTTACAGGATTAATAATTATATTCCTCATTGCCTGCAAGATTCTACCTATCTGTTCAGCCTCAGCCTGTCCTGTTCTCTCCATTCGTTCTAGGTTCTGGAGCACATCACACCCTTTCTTGTCCCAGAGCCTTGGCATTGGCCACTCCCTCTCTCTGCCTGGGGGCCTGTGCCCTGGTTTCTTTACAAGACTTCCTCCTTATCTTTCAGGTCGCAAGTTTTCATACAGCCTCTTGAGAGAAATCTCCCCCAGACCCCAGGTTCTGTCCCTGAAGCCTGTTTATTTCCATGAGTTA